TTTAAAAAGAAAGAAAATACTATCTTCCCACCATCCTCTCTCAGCATACCCCTACCCAGTTGGGCCACCTCATGCCATCCTTAGCTGGCTTCCCTGCCCCACCTACCCCACTTCCAGGCCCCACCAGTCCCTTTCTCAAGGAGACTTAGCCCTGAGAGGTTGAGCAGCGAGGGCAGTGAGACCTTGGGCACAGCCTCGACACCTTCCCACGCCCCCATCTGCTTTCCTGGTCTACCTGCAATTCCCTCACTTCCTGTCCCCGTCCTCCCCGTCTAAACTTCAAGACCCCCTGAGGCCTAGCCCGCTCTGCATGCTCCTTCATACCCAGCTGGCTCCTGCTCTGATCTCCTGCCTCATCAGCACAGGAGCAAGACTTGCAGTGCCCTCTCCTAGTTATTTCATGCCCAGAGGAGGGGCTCTGCCACCTGATCACAAGACTGGTCCTACCTCCCCAGGGATTTTTCTGCAGAGGGAGGCCGCTCAGCAGGCAGACACCCCCATGGGACATGGTGTAGAACTGAAGGACATCAGTCCTGTATAGACAGTCGCTAAAGAGGCTGGAGGCTCCTAAGAAACATTTCCCGTTTTCCCTGTAGTGTCTGTATAGAGTACCCTGAGAAGACTGTATGGAGTTTGCATGAAGAGTGTGTCTGTGTGTAAAACAGAATGAGTGTGTGTGTCTGTGTAAGAATGCCTCCGTGTTTGTGAATATGAGAGGGATGCATATGAGTAGACAGGAATGAGGTGAACCTCGCAACACACACCCCACATAGACTTCTTGGATCTCTGTGAAGATGAGGACAGGAGTTTGGTGCCATCTCGTGGCCAAGAGCTGCACTACATGTCTCACCCTCTCAACCTCTTATCTCGCCCCTCTCCCACCCAAGGATCGCAGAGAGCTGATCCCAGATGCTTCTCTGGGGCCCCAACTCACTAGCTCTCCACCCTTACCCCCCAATGACAGTCCTGCAGAGACTGAGACAAAGACCCTGTCCTGAATCTCCTTCCTCTAAGAAAAAGAGCCCTTAGAGGGGAGTGAGGCAGAGGGGTTCCAGGTGAAGCTCTAGCATAGGGTGACAACTCTTGCTTTGTGTTTCAGGAGACAGAACCCAGCAATGCAAATTTCTGTCAGGTAGGAGGTCTCCCCTAACATTCTTCACCCTCCTCACACCAGCCATGCCGCCTCCTCCTTCCCACTTCCCCTCATTCCCTCCTCAACCCCAAGTCTCCCTTGTCTCCCCCAGGTACTGTCCACACACTCCAACCTTGGCCGATTACTGAACTCTGAACCTCATGCTCCATGGTTACAGAATGAGATGACAGTACCTACTTCACAGAATCATTGTAAAGCTTTCGTAAAATGAAACCATTAAGTTGAGAGGGCAGGGTAACTACAAGAAGCCCTGGGGCCAAGCGTTGTGTTCTCCATCTGCTGAGGGATGCCCTCAGGCTCTGTGCAGAGGTACAGCCCTCCCATGGTCCCTCATCGCACCACCTCGCTTCCCTTCTGTCCTGCCCACTTCCCTGGGCAGCTCTGGACAGCCTCCCCATCCCTCTTCCCAGGGAGCTCACCTCCTGCTAGAGGCTCCAACCAACCTGGCTGCAGATGAGGGCAGAGCTGAGCAGCCACCCAGGGTTGTTCATGGGGCCACAGGAGCCCCACCTTCCTGGGCACCTCCCGGTCCTCTCTCTGCCCCCAACCCCATCCCATTGGTCACCAAGTTCTAATACAAGTGTTGAATTCCTCCCTCTCTTGCCCAGAGAACACCCTTAGAATGATCCCTGCCTATGTTCTCCCCTTGCAGTGCTTTCTCTGCTCTCCAGCAGGATTTTTCTCAAATGCATGTCTGAACCACTCTGCTGACAACATTTCCCTGGCTCCCCACTGCCCCCAAAATAAAACCAAACTCCACAGCCTGCCATTCAAGGCCTTCCCTGATCTGGCTTTCTGTCCCCCTCCATCTCACTATTCCCTGTGTGCCAGTCACTCCCCTTCTCTGAGCCTTTGTATGAGCAGTTTCTGCTTACCAGGAGAGCCTGTTCCTTTTTGTCCACAGGAAAACGATACCTGCTCATCTTCTAAACCTCACTGTGGTTCTTCTCAGGGTTATGATCCTACCTGTAGCCCCAGACATCCCATAGGGTAGTTATGGCCTGTGTCTGAGTTTGGATCTGTCCACCCCCCACCACCACCAGGATGCTAGACTGTACAGATCAGGGACAAGGACAAAGTGAGCTTTGGGCCTCAGCCCAGGGTCCTGCATGCACAAGAAAACGTTTGTGAGTTGTTCAGTCAATTTGGTGGCAAGGAGAGAGACATCACCGCATGAGCCTGGAATGGGATTAAATGGCCTCAAGGAAAATTTGGGCTGAGGACAAACATCAGATGCAGGAGGAGAAAGTAAAGCCCCAGGGTTGTATCCAGGTTGCACTTCCCCTTTGCCCAAAGGCTCGTGGAAGAGGGACATGCACACACTTTCAGGGTTGGGGATCATAATGGAGTACTTACACCAGCCCACACTGACACTGGTGACAGCCGGGCACCATTAGAATAGACATTGCCTGTCAGCCGTGGTCCAGGAACTGACTACTACCCCGACCTGGTCAGACTGGGTCCTGAACTGTGAGAGGACAGAGACAGGCTGGGGGAGCCCAAAGCAGGGGGTTGGGCAGGGGAGGGGCCTGGAGTCTAAGCCCCCAAGGGATAGCTAGAGGCCCTGAGACCATTCAGTCCAGAGATTCCAAACCATAACAAGCTGTGGGGCAGAAGCAGCAGAAGGTTCTGTGGTCCCAGTGGCATTGCAGGTGGTTGCAGGAGGGCCCTGTCCATCTCCTCCCAGCCCTCCCTTTCCTCCCTGCCCCAGGAAAGCAGACCCCAGTGGACAGCCCTCACGTCAACCTTTACTGAGCGGGAAGAGATGAACTGGGAGAAGAGATGGGAGGGACGAAGGCAAGTGACGGGATGGGGTCTGGAGACGTTTCCAGTTAGAGCTTCCTCATGGTCCCCAGTCTGGACTCTGCCCTTCTGTCTATGCAGAGGTGAACACTTTCATAGCCTGGAGAGCAGCGGGGGATGATGACTCCACAGACACAGCCCAAGACGACATCTGGTGTCGTCAGTAACAGACTCAGGGGTATTCCTTTGGCAGGACTTATGGGGACACAGACAGACATCCCTGTGGCTAGAATGGGATTGATAGATCCAGGCCTTAACTGTATGGGCACTCAAGACCAGGGTAGACCAGCAGACAGAGGGTCTAGGAGGAGAAGACTGACTCCTCCAGGCAGCCTCCCTGATTGCTTCAGCCCCTCCGTTCGCCCTTTCCAGTCCACAATCTTTGCCAGCCAACATGTCCTCTCACTGCTCCATGCCCATGCCTCCCCACTTGCTACCTACCCCTAAGCCCCACAATTCTGGCACAGGACTGGGCCAGGGGTACCCCAATAGGTCTATGACTCCCCCAGAAAAGGGATTAGGCACCAGGGTTCGGGACTCCGGTAGCCAGGGAGCTCTAGTTGGGGCTCCGGTAGCCAGGGAGTTCCAGTGGGCATGTGCCTCCCCCAATTCTGTTTCCCCCCAACCCCATTCACAAAGTCTTCAAAAAGCCCCATGGGGGAGTGTTGGTAGAAAGAAATAGATTTATTCTCATGTACAAAGCGGTTAGCCCACGGGACCATATACAACAGTTGCACAGAGTCCTAGAAAAACGCATCTCTCTAAAGGCAACTCCGAATAGGTAAGGCAGGTGGCCCCCCTCCCCCCACCCCACAACACAGTACAGAACAAGAGAGAAGGGAGAAGCTGCCGGGCTGACCCAAGAGGCCCGGCCCTATGGGGTCTCCCAAGCCCCGGGGCACAGGTGGATATGGCCTTGAAAAGGAGAGACACCCTGCCAAGGCTGACGCCAGGTCCCTCTCTGGCTGCAGGAATGGGGGTGGGGCTCAGGCTAAGGGAGTACACTCAGGGGGCCTCTGAGGGACTCAAAGTCAGCTATCTGCCCTAGGGTGGAAGGGGCATTCCACAGTCTCTCCTGGGGTTCCAGACCTATGGGGACTCTGATCTAAATAAAAGGGGTCTCAGAAAACAAACTGTTTCACCCTACTGTTTCATCCAGATAGGGGAAGGGACTTGTCCAGGGTCACACAGCCAGGAGGAAGCATTGCTGATTCAACGGGGGCCGGTCTCCCAGCCCAGGGATCCTTCCTGCCCATTGTTCCCATCCTGTTTTCTTCCTGAGCCCCTTTCCTTAGAGCACTGAGTGCCCCCCTGACAGTTTCTTTGTAGGGTCCCTGCATCAATCACCCAGTCTTCATCCCTACCATAAGTATAGTGGTGGGTATCTCAGCAGCACCTACCCTCTAAGACCTAGCCTCTAATCACTGAGGAGTCCCACCTTCTCCTTGAATGAGGATCCTGGAGAGGGGAAAAGGACACAGATCTGGTGGGGCAAGACGGGCTCAGGAGAAACCACCCAGGCTGCCTCAGAGGAGTGGCTTAGGGAGGACTTGCCAAGGTGTAGTCAGAGGCACAGAGCAGAGCCCACTGCTCATGGGTCACCCCTGTGCTCTCAGAGGACAAATGACAAAGTCTTGGTGAGGTTGGAAGTCTTGCTTCCATTATACAGACAAGAACGCTGAGGCCCAGAAGGTCAGTGCTTGCCCAGGTCACACAAGAAGTTCTGGTCTAGAACCCAGGATCCGTGGCTCTGGCTCCAGAGCATCTGGCCAGGCCGACGGAGGGTTGTAGGAGGAGGCCTGGGCAGGAAAGGATCCTGGGAGAGGCTCACTCAGTGTCAAGGCTGCAACAGCCATTGACGGGGCCCCCAGTGCCATCCAGATCAGGCACCTCGTACTCTTCATCCAGGAAGTCCAGCGAGTTGTTGCTCGGGAGGCCGCGGATGGTGAATTTGTGTGACACCTTGGTCCAGTGCTCACGGTTGGAGGCCACACGTTCGTATAGCTCTGCCGCTTTGGGGAACAGGTCCTGCAGCAGCCTAGGGGTGCATGGGGGCAGGGTTAGAGGTCAGAAGTCAGAGAACGAGCAGCAAGAAAGACTAGGGCTATACTACAAGCAGAACTTTTACAAGAATGAGTCACAGGACTGGATGCTCAAGGACAGCATGATGGTCTCTTTCCAGAGGGGACCAAGGATGAAGTAAAGGGTCCATTTAGGGGCAAAGCAGGAGACAGCTGTGCCCAGCGGCAGGGGGGTGGGTCACTGGAGCTGGGCCAGGCCACGCCCAGCACCTGTGCCTGCTGTGATGCCCATGGCCAGCCCGCCTCACCCCACCCTCTCTGTGCAGAGTCCCCAGCCGTCCCCATGAGCTCGCTCACTTGTAGATGGGCATTGCGATGTGCTCCATGAAGCTGATCTGCAGCTCAGGGATGTAGGCCTTCTCACGGTCCATCATCTCCATTGGCCTGTTGCCCATGGCCTTCTCCTATGAGCATCAAGTCATCAGGCCCGCCCCGCTTTCTTCATTAGGCACCAGGGTCAGGCTAACCCAACCCCTCCCAGGCCCAGGCCAGGAACCCAACCTGGAAACCCTGAGGTCACTCCCCACATACCAAGTCTCCCTGGGAGAAGAACTCTTTGTAGATCAGCTCCTGAAAGGCAAACGCTCTCATTACATCTTGTGAGTGGGATCCACCCACATGAGCTCCTCCACAGCCTATACCCCAGGGGGTAAACTGAGGCCTCCCTCAGCCTCACCTTAGGGCCTGTCCTCACTATCCCCATCCTGGTAGAGGGATAGCCCCAGGTGGGGGGGAGTGGCTGGGTTCTGGTCCACCTCCCACCAGCCACTGAATGGCTGTGTTATCCCAAGTAAGTCCATGCCCCTCTCTGAATCTCCCCATCTGTCACTCTGAGGTAGTCTAGATTTCTGTTTCCCCAAAATATAGCCAGGCTGAGCTCAGCACAGAAAGGGTTTTCAGGGTGCCGGAGCCACAGAGCCAGTCAGGGTATGCAGCCTGCACCTTCCAGGGGGAGGGGCAGCCCTTACTGCAATCTTCCTCGTGGTCTTCCAGCCCTTGGTCTGGTCAGAGAGGTCACAGGAGGTCATAAGGAGGCAGAGAAGGAGACTGTGGTGCTGCTTGTTGGTTCGGTCATAGCCCACTATTGGGGAGAGGATGGGGTCAAGGAGTGGGGCCCAGCCTCTTGGCCCCCTCTCTAAAAACAAGGTCTGCAGGGCCCACCCCAAAGTGGTCCAGGAAATTCAGCACCCTGGATGAGCGCCAACGGGCTGGGGCTGGGGCTGCCTGGTGGGCTAATGCTGGAGGGAGTGGGTCTAAACTACTGGGGATGTTCTCCAGGCAAATGCCCCTCTTGGTGGCCCCTCCCCAACTCCGGGACCCAGGGCTAAAAGGAGGCACCTTCAGCCATCTTCTGGAGGTCCTTGAAGATGCGGAGGTGGTGGGCCAGGTCCGTGGCCAAGATGATGTCCCGCATCAGGTCCAGCATGCGCTGATAGTCCTGGGTAGGGGCCGGGAGATGTCACGGCCTCCTGCCAGACACCCCTACCCACTGCCCGGCCCTGAGGAGCCTCCACCCATCAGCCCCTTCTCTTGTGTTGGGCCAGCTCCCAGCTTCCACCCCTTCACCCCTACTCCAGCCCATTCACCTTCCGGGAGAAGTGATCGAAGATGTTACAACCATGGGTGTTGAGGATGGCGATGGCCTGAGCGAAGTGGTGCCTCTGGGGGGAGGGGAGTGATGGAGTCCATCAGGATGGAGGGCTTCTCTCAAGACTGACCCCAAGAGAGGGAGCAGGCCCAGCCCAGCCCTAACCCCCAAGGTGAGCAGAGCAGGCAGAAATGAGAGTCAGGGTTTCAGTTCCCTTGCTGGGCTCTGTTTCTACCCTTGGTGTGACCTGGGCAAGGCTCTGGCTGACTCCGAGCCCCAGGTTCCTCAGCTGTCATATGGAGGGACATGACAAGGTAAGCTCTAAGGAGCTCTCAAGCTGGGATAATTCTGAAATGATCCCTCAGAGTCCTAGACATTAATTCATGCAGCTAACATTTGTTTGCTGACAAGGAAAGGCAGTGTGAGGTGAGGGCAAGGCCTCTGTCTCCTGATGTGGAAGGGTTGTCACTTGGAGGAGAAGCGGGCTCAGCCCAGGGCGAGGAGGGCAGAAGCAGGACTGCCACCAGGCCTCCCAGGAGGGAATGGGCCCCTCATCTCTGGGAGCATACAAGCAAGGCCAGTCTCTGGAAGGTGTGGGGGGTAGCATGGGACGAGCTGACCTTGGAATTTTGGCTCTCTCTCTGTGCCAAGGAGTGTGCCAAGTGCAAGGAACTCAGAGATGTCTCAGATTTTGTCCCTGCCCCGAGGAGCCCTCATCTGGGGGTGGGGAGACCCAAACTAAACAATCTAAGGCAAACCTGAGTGTGATGGGAGTGCATCCTGTCCGGGCTTGGCAGGGAGGGGTTGCACAGGGCATTTTCAGACATGCAAAGAGAATTGTGCTGAATACAAGTCCTCCCTTCGCAAACTTGGGCTTCAGCAGAACCTGCAGCCTGACTCATACCCTCATCCACACCTGCATCCCTCCAAGCCCATCCAGGAAAATGAGCTAGACATGCCCTGGGGGTGGCTGCAGCTCTCACAGCCTGTCTGAAGAGCAGGATTTGGGAATAGGAGCTGGGTCACAGTCTAACTTTGTAAGAGGTGAGGAGGAGTACAGGAAGATGTGGGGATGTGGATAGGAGGTGGGGGTGGGGCTGAGGCAGAATGGTGGTACCTCCATGACAGAGCCCTCGGAGCTGTAGAGTGCAGCCAGCACAGATTTCTGGAAAAGCCAGGAAAACGCCATCACTCCTTCCATCCAGATCCAAGCAGCTGCCCTGTCCGGCTAAGCATTCTCCTGCTCCTCCTGCCCGCCCCCCTCCAGTTCAGACCCCAGCACAAAGCCTGGGAGAACCTCAGGCTCCTGGTCTCACCAGCTCCCACCTCTCCTCAAGCTGGAGAAGTGACACTCCCAGACACCCCGGGGAGGGTGCCCACTATGAGGAGGGCAGGGTCTCACCGAGGCCACTTGGAAGGAGTTGTTTGTGCCTCTGTGGTCCAGGTCATGACACATGCAGGAAATAAACAAGGCAAAGATCTCGATGTCCCTGGTTGGGAGACAGAGAGGAAAGCGGTCCAGACATAGCTCCCTCCCCAGGCCCCCAGAGGAGGAGCAGCAGGATGAGATGTCCAGCATCCGGGCAGGAGCTCAGGACACCTGGGGCCCCTTCCTGGAGAGAAGCCCTGGTTTGGAATTTGACAGCCCAATCATTCCCTGGGTGTGCGACTATAAAGCAAGGCTGCCCCAGGAAGTGGGGCTATGCTCCCTCACTGGGCTGTTAAGAAGGTCCCATGAGGCGGCGCATGTAAAGTGCCTGTCACACAGGCGGTGGTTCCCCGTCCCAGGGAAGGGGACCCCAGGGGCTGACAGATCAGGGCGAAGAGCAGCCACTCACTCGAGGTAGTTAGTGAGCTCCAGGTTCTTGTAAAGCAGGTAGCAGAAGTGGGAGACAGAGAAGGCGTGCATCCAGTTGTGGTAAGGGGGATCCCGGTAGCCCTTCTTCACCATCAGACAGAACCTGGGGTGGGAGAGAGGGCGGCACCCAGACCTCAGGCTCTCCTCCTCCAGGTAGCCTTCCAGGTTCTGCCCTGCCTCATTCCTCACGGTCCCAATGTCTAGGAATTAATGGCCTCTCGCTCGCGGATCCTCCCCGCGCCCACAAGACCGAGCCTTCCCTAGCTGTCCCAGAGAGACTCCTCCCCAGAAGGCTGGGGGCACTGGATGTAAGAGTAGAGGACAGAGGGAGGCAGAGACCAGGGCTGCCTGCACGCAGAGGAGGAGGGCTGGGAGTACACACCGGGCCAGTGTCGGGCAGTCAATTTTGTAGTTGTTGATGAAATTCATGTCCTGCAGCATGCTCAGGATGGCCTGTAGAGGGCAGATGGGAGGGGTCAGAGGACTGTCGGTTTCAAGATGGGGCCCCTGCCTTGGCCCTTCTTGAAGCCTCCAGAATGTTTGGAGTCTTAGCTCTTTAGGTCTATGCTAGAGAACCATAGACTGGTAATGCCTAGTCAGAGCCAAGAACTTTTCTTTTCTTACTGAGGAACAATGTGTTTTTCCAGGACCCATCAGCTCCAAGTCGAGTAGTTGTTTCAATTCTAGTTGTGGAGGGCACAGCTCAGTGGCCCATGTGGGGATCGAACCGGCAACCTTGGTGTGAGCACTGCGCTCTAGCCAACTGAGCTAACCAGCTGCCCCAGAGCCAAGAACTTTAAAAAAAAACTCTTGGAACCAAGCTGACACAAAATCTTAGAAAAACAGGGAGCGAGGTGCCAACCCTGAGGCCACGTGCCCTGGGCATTGTTGGTTGTGGAGCAGTCCTCAGCAATCATTCAGCCAGCTCTTGGCCCCTGGGCAGGCCCCGTAACCCATGCTGGCAGACTACATGGCCACTCCATCTCTAAAGGAGACACTATACTCTTCCTTGACTACTCTGGTTTGCCAGAAGTTCCTGTACACATCTAACTTAAATCTCTGCCTACACACCCTCTGCCTCCACAGTCCAGTGGGTGGGGGGCAGGGGGCAGCTCACCATGGAAGTGTCATCTTCTGGGAGAGAGCGAGGGGTGTAGATAAAACTGGCGAAGTTGGAGTCAATGACAGCCACAGGAGGAATCCCGTCGTGGAGAAGTTTGGTGTATTCATCATCAGAGACCTACAGGGGACCAGCCAGGGCATTAGAAGATGACCTCCACCCATCCAGTGTCCTCAGCCTCAAATTCCCACAGCAGAGGGAACCCCTCACCCAGAGCACACCCCGGTTGGGCCATCCACTCCAGATTGTCACTGGGCAGGAGATCACCACCCTCCCTCACAGCCCTGTGGCCCATCTACTATGCCTCCTTGTCTGTGACCACCCTTATCTGTAACAGCTTACACTCAGCAAAGGTGGAGGACACCCCTTGGTGATACCCCTAAAACCATGGTAGCCTTTCATAGGCAATAACTTGAAGATTACTTATTTGGGGGGACCATCCCAGAACCTAACCTCAGTCTTTCTTACTACAGCTTTGACCCTATCCACAAAGTCTGGGACCCTTTGGTTTGGGCACAGGTGAGAGGAAATGTTTAAATCAGCAATGACCACCAAATATTCTGACCTAAGGCCTGGGACAGCTTTTCTGACACAGAGTCTGAGAATGGGATGGAATATCATAATTAGGACTTCCCAGGACTGCAGGAGCCCTGTACCTATGGGAGCTGTGTGAAGGGCCCTGAGTGGGCTTTTCGGCCTTTAGTCATTTCCAAAGTGGGAATTGCCATTTGACATGGGGAACACCTGGCTAACCCAGGTTCTTCCCCGGGCTGGGTGCTGCTAGCCTTGGTGCCGAGCCAGCAATTGCCTGGAAAAGACACTTTCCTGAAGGAGAGCTGGAGACCAGGCATTGCACTGGGTCTATCTCATCATCTTCAAGAGAGGGTAATCAGAAAGCTCAGCCTGGTCCTGAGCCCAAGAGGATTTTGGGAAGCGGGGAAGGAACAGGTGGGCTGCAGGGGACCTTGGGACCCTGGGAAGGAGGACAGAAGCTCCTTGCAAGACTTACCTTCATGTGGTACATCATCATCTCGTTGGCGAGATGGCTGCGATATTGGGCCTCATTCACTTTCTTGTAAAGGAGGGACTGGGGAGCAGAAAGAGAAAGATGGGGCTCAAGCAAGGTGTCTGTGAAATCACAGAATGCCCAGGAGTGGGACACAGGGGTCAGGCAGAATCCCCCTTCCTGTCCCATGCTGGGCCTTCCAGCTCCAGCCCAGAGTAGGGAGCCCTCTCCAACTTTCATCTAGACCGCCCCTTGCTCCTCCTCCCAGCGCCTCTTAGTATTTGATCTGGCACTCTGCATGTCCTCCAGAACCTGCCCTGAGGCCCACAGCACAGAAAGAGAAGAAAAGAGGAGGTATAATGTCAGGGACTGATGGGTTGGAGTCCCAGGCCAGAGCTACCAGCTCTGAACAATGAGACCCAACATTTCCCAGAAAGAAGCTGACCAGGGGCTTGGGTTGAGGCTGCCTCCAAAGGGAGACAGGGGCAGGGTGGGTGAATAGTGACAACTGGGGTTTCCCATGGTCTTGGGAGCCTAAAAGGAGCAGGACAGGAAACAGTAAATTTTCAGATGGGAAGTGAGGCCAGAAGTGACCAGTAGGTACTGCAGGTTGCACAGCAACTCAGCAGCGGGCCTCTGAGTCCCAGGTGGGGTACGGACCCATCTAGACAGAGCAAGGACACCCAATGTGGAGTGGAGGGCCGAGGGTCCTGCACAGGCCCTGCCCGTCCCTACTCACATGGGCGATGCTGATGCCACAGTAGATGGAGAAGGCTGTTGCCAGGTCCTCATCGAACTTGCTGAACCATGGTCCGTTGATCTTGTTCACCAGCTCAGCCACACCGATGACCTCTGGGAGCCGGAGAAGGGCTAGGACCCGCCGGTGGATGTGTCCGGCAGGGATCTGCCCTCCCAGGGTGCCCTCAAGGGATGTCCCATGTCTGGGAAACCCCGTCCCTTCTGCTCCAGGACGCTAGAGGGTGGGGAAGGGTTGCCAGCCCTCTGATGGGTTCCGCCCTGTCCTGTCCAGGCCCCGCCCCGCCCCACCCTTCTGCCGGGAGCCCGCACCCTGGTTCTCATTCTTGATGGGAAAGCAAAGGATGTTGCGTGTGCGGAAGCCGGTGCTGTCGTCCACANGCCCCTCCCCACCCTTCTGCCGGGAGCCCGCACCCTGGTTCTCATTCTTGATGGGAAAGCAAAGGATGTTGCGTGTGCGGAAGCCGGTGCTGTCGTCCACACCACGGTAGAAGAGTGGGTGTGCGTACGCGTCTGGGATGTTCAGGATCTGGCCGGTGGTCGCCACGTGGCCCGCGATTCCCTGGTCTGCTGGGATGCGGATCTCATAGCTCTGCAGGGCCAGGCATGGGTAGGGAGGGAGGAAGAAGTTAGTGGCCAGACAAAGCGGACTATCAACTGTCCAGCCTGCTCCTCAGCCCCCTGCGGACACATGGACCCCAGGACCACAGCCACATACTCCCTGCACCCGGCCCTGCCTCACCTCATCCTCCACCACGCCCCCGTCGAACACCTTGGCCACCAGCTCATTCTGATCCAGCAGGAACACTGAGCAGCTGTGGGGAAACAGCCTTGGTCCACAGGGCCCTGACACCCCTCTCAGACTATCCCCCCACTTCTCAGGACTTGAGGCAAAGACTGGATTTCCAAGGCTGCATAAGAGTGATCTGTGGGAGAGGTTCTCAGGGTGGCTGACTCCCGACTTTGGAACAGGCCAATGTTTTTTGTTGTTGTTGTTGTTTGTTTGGTAGCATCTATTCTGTGCCACACCTGCTAGGAGCTGAGGACCCATGGCCAGCAAAGCGAGCCCTGCCCCTGTTGCCATCGGATGCTATGGAATAGAGGATCACACAAAGTGTGACAGGTCCCACAAGAAGGCAGCAGAGGGGAGAAAAGGAAAGGAGGAAGACAGGCCCAGGGCCTCTCTCGTCCCTCAGGGTAGATTCACTCACATCTCAGCATTGCTGAGGTTTCTGGCCTCTGTGATAATCTCCTGGAGCAGGACAGAGACGTCATCTGTGAGAGGGAGAAACATGGGGGGCCAGTGGTGAGAACAGGCTGGAGTACTGAGGCCAAGACCCCCCACCTCTCACTCCCAAACCTCCAGCCTCCACTCCCACCCCACAGCCAAGCACGGAGGACAGTACACTCACCCAGGTGAGTGAAGAGGTTCTTTGCCACTTGGAGAAGAGCCTGGAATGGAGAAAATGAAGAACATAAGGGTTCAGGTTACAGGAGGTGACCCTTTCCAGCCCCCTGCCTCCAACAGACCCAGGGTCTTCTCATTCCTCCCCTACAGCTCTCAGGGCATGCTGGAGACTGGCAGAGAGTAGGCAGTTATATCATTTGGCTACTAAGTGAGGGAGTGGGAGGAACAGCCCCAGCGAAGGTGTATAGAAATCTTGAGTCTCAGATGTGCGTTCGCCTCCGGATCCAGACACCCAGATGTTGCTGTAGTACCCAAGTTGGACACTAGAGGGACACAGTGTCTGCAGCCATTGGCACTGCCCTGAAAAACTCCTGACCTTCCTGTTTTAGAGGCCTCCAGGGCACTAGGTAATCTCCCTGGGGTGGTTTAAATAGACATAGACTTTTCCCTTATGGATGACTTTCTGGGGCTGAGAGCTGGGTGATTTGCTTCCTGAGAGAGGCGCAAGGCCGGTCACTCACCTGGCACTCACACTTGAGCTTCTGCTCCTTCTGGAAGGCCAGGGTGCTGGAGAGCACCGTGCTGGTGTAGTGGAAGCAGTGCTGGATCACACGCTCATCCTGGTCTGTGAACCTAGGGGACAGGGGTGGAGGTCACTGGAGGGAAGGAATGACAAATTCTCTCCCCATTTCTCCCTTCCTCCAGGAAGTGCACTCAGAGACCCACCAGCTAATAACCATCACTCTCCTCTACTGGGGCTGCTCACAGCACAGGCAGCTTGGGGCAGCTTCCTCCTCAGACTAGGGGCTCCCTGAGGGGAGGGCTCTAATTCTCCTAGACCAGAATGTGTCTTCCTCCTCAGACTATTGTTTCTTGAAGTCAGAGCCATGTTTCCCTCCTCTGACTTCGAATTTACCCAGACTGAGTCTGCGTCTCCTC